TTTTTTTTTTTTTTTTTTTTTTTTTTTTTGTGTTTTTTGTTTGGTTTTTTTTAGAAAAAAAGGAAAACAATAAAAGTTCTTTAGCTGTGATTATTTTTTGTTTAAATCTTTGAGGTAATACAGTTGTGCCCTCGTTCTAACAGGTTCCCAGAGGTTGATGGTTTCTTTCTTGCTCTTCTAAATCCCTGTCATCCGTTTTCCTTTCTTTCTGTTGTTTCTTTCTGAGCTCCCAGTTGGGCCGACAACCCTGGGGGGAGGAGATGGGGGCTTCAGGCCAAGATGAAGATTGAACATGGCTGGAGAAAGGCTGGCAGGGCCCTCCCTGCATCCCTGCTCCCTCCCCGCTCGATCCAGGTGGCCTGGCTTGGTCGTCGCTGAGAAGTCCCAATCTCACCACCAAAAAAAACTGAACCAAACCGCTTTGCTTGCGAGATCCGAGTGTGCGTTCAGAGTACTTGGTTTACAAAAGACATTGCAGGCTGGAGCATTGTTCGCCCTTCAAAATTTCTGGCTTTGTTATTCATTTTAATTTTATTATTCACTTATTTTTTTTTTAAAAAATAACATACATTGCTTGTAAAATAATTTCTTTGTTTTTTCTTCTTCTTCTTCTTCTTCTTCTTTAAATTAATTTATTCTTTCATTCATTTGTTTGTTCTTCAGATGTCATTATTATTATTATCATTATTATTATTATTATTATTATCATCATCATCATTTTTCTTTCGTGGAGCCCCCCCACTCTCCCTTCCTACTCCCTCCCACCCCCCCCAATGCCCTGCTCTGTCTCTTTAGGAAAATATTCTAATGGCCTGAGTGGCTGCTGCGTGGCAAACGGGGCACTCGGGATCAGTCCTCTCGCAGATCCTCACGGCACACTCCATGCAGAAGAGGTTGTGGCCGCACGGCACCAGCGCGGCCGTCACCTCGCTCTCGAAGCACACCATGCACTCACGGCTGCTGCCCACGGACGTCCGGGCAGCGGCCGGCGTTCCCAGCTTGGAGAAACCCTGCAGAGGCTCCCCCTGCGACCTCCTGGGCAGCCCGGAGAGGCTGGGCTCGGGCATGGAGGAGGACGGCGAGCGGTGCGAGTTGGGGTGGATGGCGCCGGTGCTGCTGGAGCGCTGCTGCTTGGAGAAAAGCACCGAGACGGGGTTGGTGTTCTCCTGCCCGGCCCACATCGGGGCCCCCGACTCKGGCACCCCGTAGTACAGATCCTGCTTGTTCACGCCGTAGTTGGGGAAGAGGTAACCGTAATTGAAGTCGTTTTGGTCGTTCAGCCGGGGGGTCTCGTAGACGGGGTCGACGGAGCAGTCGCCGATGCAGCCCAGGCTGTTCTGGCGGAAGGTGGACAGGGGCTTGCAGCCCGGTGCCGGTGTGTGCACCCTCCAGGCCTCTGAGTAGCGATTCTCCATGCCAGAATCGGGGCTGCTGGACAGGAAATCATTCTCGTTGTTGTACTCCAGAATCTTGCCCGTCCTCACCGCGATGTGCGTCTCGATCTCCTCCCGGGCGCGCTCCACGTTGCCCGGCGCGCCSGTGATCTCGAAGACGGGGTCCCGGTCTCGGCTGGGCGTGATGATGTAGGTGTTGGTCTGCTGCTGGATGCGCTTGATGGTGGCTCCYTTGGGCCCCACCACCAGCCCCACCACTCGATAGGGCACCCTCACGCGGATGGTGACCTGCCCTGGCAGGGTGGGAGCGCTGCCAAACGTGGTGCCCGCCTTGTTGCGGGACGCCCGGATCATGGAGAAGTGCTCGGCCGCCGAGATGATCTCCCGCCGGGCCATGGCCACGTCCTCCCGCCGCCCCGTCACCATGAAGACCGGCTCCTCGCCCCGCACCGGGGTCTTGATGTAGGTGTTGGTCTTTGCCCGCAGGGCTTTGATCTTGCAGCCTTRGGGAGAGAGAGAGAAGAAGGCACGGTGGTTAACGAGGCTGTCCCACTGTCCCCACTGCTCTGCAGGACACTGGGTGAGTGGCCACAATCTCTCCCCGCTGCCCAGGACATGGAACAGGAGAAAGGCCCTTCCCCTCAAACCCCAAGGGGAAAAGCCAGAAAAAGGTCCCCCCTCACCATTCCCAGACTCCCTCCCTCAGAAGTGCTGCTCTCCCTCATCCCCTAAAATGGGAATGACCATTTTGTGCGCTGCACCCCACCACACCACCCCTCCGACTGCCTCCCCTCAGCAATCATCCCAAATATCTCCCTTCCACACACCCCAGCCCCACAGTCACGGGGATCTGAGCCACCCCCAGGGCTCAGCCTGTCCCCAGAGCCCCAGGGTGGCCCTCAGGGACAATGGCCACCCTTGGGGTGATGCGTGGGGCAGCCTGGAGGTGACAGGAGAACAGGGGGATGCTGGTCCCACAGCCTGGAATGCCAATGTGGACCCCAAAGGGAGTCACCTGCCATGATTCCAGAGAGCAGAGCCCTCCGTGGGGACTTTGGTACTGCTGGGGTGGTATTGGGGTAAATGCAGGGAATTTCAGGTTCAGAGAAGAGTTGCAGAGATGCAACAATTTGGTGCAGAWATGGCAGGACCCCAAATGCCAGCAGAGCTAGATGGCCAGGGATGGYTGGAGGCCAGGATCTCCTTTGGGACCAAAACAGCAAGAAATGGGGCAGGGCTGCCCTCATGTGAGCCCTGCAASAGGCTGTGCACAGACTCCTGCTCTGAGTGCCCAGAGCCTCCCCCAAATCATCACCCCAAAGGTGCTTTTGGGCACCTCCGAGAGCCCACTGAGACCATTCCAAGCTCTTCACAGCTCAGAGAACAGCCTTCTGCTTCCCCAAAAAAGGGTAAAAGACTTTCTAGTGTGCTCTGGTGGTATTTTGGAGGGTCTTGATCTGGCTACWCGACTCCAGGGTCCCAGATGACACCAGGATGCCATCAAGCAACTGAGTATTTTTACAAATGTGGGGCAGTTCTCTTAACTCTTCCTTGCTGCTGTCTGGACCCTCAGACCCCCCTCTCAAGAAGCCTCACTCGGTGCCCCAAGGCATTTCTGAGCTCCCGTGCAGACTGGGGGTTCCTCTGCAGGAGGTGAGCTCTGAGCTCAGATCTCCAAGAAAAATTAAAATCTGCGATTCTGCAGCGCAGCTGAAGCACGGCGAGCACTTTGCCTCTGTTTCTGGAGGATATGGGTGTCTGACTCAGGGCTCACAGAACCAGAGGATGAGGATGGAGCAAAGGGACCTCTGTGAGAGCTCCCATCACCTCCCACCCCACCTTCTCTTACAGAAAAGATCATCTCCTGTCCTGTCCTCTAACTACCTGACACCAGCAGGTTTTCCTCCACACACTTCAACACACAAGGACCTGCAAACGATGCCTCTGCAAACACCAAACGCAGATTCCTCAGCTCCTGGGATGGAACGTAATTATTTATACAGATCCTAATAAAATAACAGCATCTGCCAGGCTGGGAATCCAGGACTGCCACTGATCCACAGCTCCTCTGGTCAGACATCGGGGTGCTCACCGGAATGCAGCGATCCCAGCATTGCTGGCAAGGAGTGAAGCCCCAGCTGTGGCTGTGATGGAAACAGCCTTGTGCCACTAAAGCTGACAGGAACAGCTCTCTGAGCTCGCAGCGCCACGGCAGCCGCCGTGTCCGGCAGTGCCCAGCGTGGAGCGTGCCCAGCCTGGCCGGACACACTGACCCCGGGGGCACCGGCCACACATGGCCCCCTCAGCCCCTCAGAGGGTCTTGGTAGTGGTGTGGACACACAAATCTGAACTTCATTGTCGACTCCCAGCATGACTTTTAACTCCCCGAGCCTCATTCTCCATTTCTGGAGCAGGAATAGCCRACTCCTGCCTCGTGCTCCCGCAAAACTTCCTCTTAACGCTCAACATCACAGTGCTAAACCCATCTCTGAGACAGGAATTCCATGTTCCTGGRGAATGGAAATGCCAGGTCTGACACAAAGAAGGATCTGGGCAAATGGCCAAATCCAAACCAAATCCACTCCTGCCAAATCCAGTGTAGCTCACGGGTTRCTCCCCAGAGCTCGCACCCTGACGTACATTTGTGATGCTGCGCTGAGTAAAGTTTCCAAACAGCCCACGTGGACCAATGGTCACCCAGTGGAGCGCTGTGAGCTCCCAGAAAACCCAAAGGACATGCACGACTCGACTGTAGGATAAACCCACACTGGYAAAATCCATAACAAAGGTTCATCCCAAGCAGGGCTGGATTAAACCATGAGAAGTTACCTGTGCYCTCTGGCACCACTGGGCAGGGTGAGCTCCCCCTGACCCAGCCCTAGCAGACATTTCCCTGCCCCGCTCCTGTGCTGCTCACTCCAAAGATGGAGATTCCATCTTAGGAAGATTAACCGAGATGCCACCATTTCCCCGGGGATATCACCGGAGCGTCGCGTGGAAAGACAGGGGTGTGCACACGGCAAGCAGGGAGCTGAAAAYACCTCCCTGTGCATCACCCCGGGGCGAAGAAGCTCTGCTGAACCCACAGAGTGAATCCCACTCGTTTCTGCGAGGCTCTCCTGCACAGAAAGACCTCGGGCAGTCGTGTGGCAGGGCCGGGATCGGGCTCCGCGCTGAACGGAGCCGCGGGACAATGACAGCGTGTGGGGGAGAGGGATCTGAACCCAGCACGACAGGAAACAATCACGGAGACAACACGGAGGGTCAGGCAGGCAGAGCGGTGACAAAGGACAGGGGCTCCATGCTGGGGACAGATGGAAGGGAACAGTGGCGGGGAATAGACATGAATGAGGGCAAATGTAAGCGTGTTATATGAGCTAGAGGAGTGGGAGGGAGTTAAGGATGGAGGAAAGGTGATGGAAATCGAGGGAGAGGCACACCCCGATCCCTCCAAGGGAGGAGGAGAATGAGGGGTGAAGAGGCAAAGCACGGACAGCCCAAAAGGGAGATGGGCAAGGAGAGAGCACGGCGAGAGGGAGGGGAAGGAGGATCTGGAACGGACAAAAGGACGCGTGGTGCAGTCGGTGGTGTGAGCAGAGGGGGAGGAGGGAGGGTCTCCRTGCAGGCCTGCAGACGGGAAAGCCAGCTTTGCCGAGACAGACAGATGGGGATCCTGCGCTTAAAAACGGGAGAAAATCACCCTGTAGGAAATTAGASCGACTCTGGCCAGCCCAGCAGCCCAGTGGGCTCAGCAGCCCCGACCTCCAGCAGCTCCAAACTGGCGCAGACAATAGCCAAACCATCAGCAGCACAAATCCAGAGAACTCCACAACTTCCAGGAGCGCAGCACTGGTTTACATCGGCTGAAACCAGGCTGGGTTTAAACATGATTTACTCCGTTAGTGACAAGGCTCCCGGCCCATTTCAGCCCCAGCTCTGACTCTGCTTTGCACACTGAAAAGGGGCTGAGCCTCCTTTGAGATCACCCCGTTTCTGATGGAGCACAGCTGGATCAGGACGTGACATCCCAGCCAGATGGGGAGCATGCCCCAGCGTGCTCATTCCAAACGAAATCTGTCCTGCATGGCATGTTTTTTTTTGACACTTTCTTCGTGAATAACTGAAATTTGAAGACACCATATAACAAAGCRTTTCACTCGGGGGATTATTCGAAGGGGAGGGAGATGAAGGGGAGGGGATTGCTTAGCAGGTGGTGTCAGAATGAAGCTAAGGGGAGAAAAGGACCCATCGAAGCTGTACWAAWACACAACTTGGTGTATGTTCTCCTYGYTACAGCAGYGCACAGACATCAGTGCATTGACCTGGCAGACCCCCGCCACTTAGATTTTTATATTAAACAGAGAATTAAGCCCTTTCTCATTGTGTTTCCACAGCCGACCTTATTATCCTGGGTTTTGTCAATAATGCAGATCCCAAAGCATTTTGTGAAGGAGGTTGTAAGCTCAGCTCCTCCTCTCACCTTTTTTTTCTCTTTAATTTCACCGATTACCAATTGACTCAAAGTAAATGTGTTTGCAAATTACCTGAGTACACCACAAACATTCCCACACACACAGGACCAAACCCTGGAGAAGTGAAGCGCCTCTGGTGCCCAGATAAGTCAGCTAACTGGAATTAATCTGCAGAGCAGCCATCTCTGGCTGAAAACGTGTAAATAAATTGAGTCTAGACATTGCCAAGGTGGGTGGTGGGGGTCAGGAAGAGATCTGGATGCACAGCCAACTCCCCCTCTCTGCTTCCAACTGCATCAGGGCAACAAATCTATCAACAATAACAGAGAAAGGCTCTGGGAGCTTGGTCCACCTCTCCAGCAAAGGCAGCTGCTCACAAGGGACATGAAGGTGCTGGACGCATCTAATACAATCACTTCCTTGGCATGAAACCATCCCAAATGTTCTCACTCTGAGCAGCCCAAAACCAATGTGTTTTCACATGATCTCAGCAGGGTTTGCACCAAGGTCCTGCTCCAGCAGCAGGAAAAACGACTGAGCAGAGCATGGAATGGATGTGCCCAGCACACAACCACGGTGACAATGCCCTCAGGACAGTGCAGCAGCACATGCAGCCATGCCTRTGGAGCAGATATTTCACTTTGGTATAAATTCAGGGTTAAACCTGCTGATGACCTTCTCCTCAGTGCAGCCAGAAGGCCAGATCCTGCACAGGTACATTGTGCTAYTGATGCAGTCTGGAGACCCTCACCTGGCACCAGCTGGCACCTCCAGCTCAGGAGGTGACCCTGGAAGCACCAGAGGAGCTGTACCACCACAGCAAACAGCCYCAAGGTGGGTCTTTTTGTTTCATTGATTGGATTGTGGTTTTTATTTTGGAAAACATATCCCACAAATCACTTCAGGTCCTGATATTTTCTTGTTTTCATCAGATACAAAATAATCTCAACAGACAAAAGCTTCGGAGCTCTCTTTTATCCCAAGGCRCCGTTACACTGCACAGATACAAATTACACCTGTAAATACCCCAC